ATTGCATTTGATTTTTAGATTTACATACAACGTGCACAATTGTATAAAATATATTTTATTCTTATGCTGTAACTAATAAATAGATGGATAATTAAGACATTGTTAACTTAATGTTGTTAAAGATATAAAATAGTCAGTTTTTGCTAAAAAAAAAAAAAATTGGAATAATCTAGGCTGAAATAACTGAACTAAAAATATTTGAATGTGAATGGTTTTTAAGTTTAGCCATATATTTGGTTAGATTTTGCAATTCTCCTTGCCTATTCAATTTCTAGTGAATAGACCCGATAAAAACTTGCAGGGCTCTTGCTGTAAACTTGCCACTGCACCTGTACTCTTGCTGTAGACTTGCCACAGCAACTTTGCTCTTGCTGTAGACTTGCAGGGCACTTGCTGTAGACTCGCAAGGCTCTTGCTGTAGACTTGCAGGGCTCTTGCTGTAGACTTGCAGGGCTCTTGCTGTAGACTTGCCACAGCAACTTTGCTTTTGCTGTGGACTCGCAGGGCTTTTGCTGTAGACTTGCAGGGCTCTTGCTGTAGACTTGCAGGGCTCTTGCTGTAGACTTGTCACAGCAATTTTGCTCTTACTAGAGACTTGCAGTGCTCTTGCTGTAGACTTGCCACTGCAATTTTGCTCTTGCTCGTGACTTGCCAAGCAAATGTGCTACAAATTGTGTCAACTAGAACTTGAGCTGCAAGAGCTCTGCTAGTGAATCACTTGCCAGTGAAAACGTGCAGCAAGTTAAACAGACTTACAGTTTAAGTCTTCCACACATTTGTGGCAAGTTATCCTTGCTATCTTGGTTGACAGCGGATGTCAGATTGAACAAACAGGTATGGACATCTATGGGTGACATAAAAATCTGAATCAAACTTCCTACCTGTACATGCAAACTACTACATGATCACTGCAAGTACTATAACCATTACATATTTCAGCCAATAACGGGCATAGCTCCTAAAAAATTGTTGCCGGCTCTCTGTCTGAAATACTGGAGGCAGGGAGCAGCACCCAGCTGTACCCAGGTAAGAAGTAGACATGGGTATTCGTTTTTGGGACAAACATATTTTCGTCCAAATTTCGACCATTCACCCATTTGTCTGAAAACGAATGGATAAATAGAAATAACGATTAATGAAATGAAGACCGAATTGCTTATTGGATGGAATTCCATCTGTTCGATTCGCAGTTTCCTTCTATTTATTACAAGGAGAGAGCTACTCAGGTGAGAGGTGAGAACTTGCTGGCATTTCGGATATGGACTGCCAGTAAGGGCAGGACCAGTCTGAAATGTTTCAGGTATGTTCTCTCTGTAAAGGCACAAATTGAGCTAAAACCAGCTTGAGATCTGAGCAGGGACCCACTGAAGGGCAGGCTAATTGAGCTGTTGTCCATTCTCAACTCTCTTGCTACCTGTATTTCTCTACTTAAGTGTAAAGGGCAATCCAGACGTGGACCCCTTGCTCCCGGTGCCTAGAAGGATATTGGCTATACCTCACTGCTGATACCTTATAAGGTTGAAACGATCATCTGGGGTTTCCGTATCTCTCATGCAGAGGGAACTTGCTGGCATTTCGGATCTGGACTGCCCGTAAGGGTGGGACCAGTCTGATATGCTTCAGATATGTTCTCTCTGTAATGGCACAAGTTGAGCTAAAACCAGCTTGAGACCTGAGTGGGGACCCACGAAGAGCAGGCTAAATAAACTGTTGTCTGTCCTCACCTCTCTTGCTACCTGTTTTTTCTCTCCTTAAGTATTTTGTTTTAGTTAGTTTTAGTATAGTTGTCTGAAAGTTTTTTGTAGTATTGGTCTTTCAACTTCTTAGTAAATAACTCCCTAATCCTTGTGGGATTGCCATAAAGATACCAAAAGGGAGCTATGTACTAAACAGCTCAATAATTTTATTCCCTTAAATATGGCAATCACACAAGGGTACCAGTGTAGGTAGTTATCTTCTAAACGACCGCAATATGTGGCATGGATAGGAATTTCATTTGTTTAAATGAAATTCCCGAAACAAAAATAATTACCAAATTTAATCAAAAAATTAATGAACAAACAAACAAAACTTGGTTCGGATGAAACAATATTTTTTTTTTTTGTTCGAATGTATTTGGACAAAACGAACATTTCGGCAGCACCCAAGTCTAGTAAGAAGTCAAACTTACAATCGATGGTGACAGTAGTAGCTATTCTGCTTGGAGTGTTCCTTTTAACTAAAACATAAGTAATAATCTGGTTAATTTTCTCAATGTGTTAAAGAAATATTGTAGTAAGCATTTTATATCATGAGGGCAAGAATGTAGAAGGTTTATCAGATAAATACAAAATAAAACAAGCAATACTTATACATATGTTGCAATTATTGTAAATATTATTTTCTTTTTAAGTAATTCCTGTGGATATTTTGGAACTTTTATTAAAGAACTTCAAACGCTATAATTTAGCATGCCATATTTTAGTTCAAAGTTACATAATCTGGAACTGTCACTTGTAAAATTGTTGCTTATCTGAATAACTAATTAAACATTACCTACATGTTGTTTCTTTTTATGAAACTATATATTGTTTTATTTATTCCTGAGCCAGAAAAATGTAAATATCTTCAACCCCCACGGTGCCAGGGTATGACATTATGGAAAGAATGTCCAATTTTGCATGTTTCTATATTGCACTTTCCAAGCAGATATCGGAGTACTTATTAGCAACCTTGGAGGACAGTACAGTTTAAATGTTTCAATAGTGGTTACTGAGTTGAGAAGTGAAAGTTTATTTTTAAGAGTATTTTTTTTTCTATAGTAGTAACCACAGGTTTACACATCATATTCTATAAGACATGCATCTGATGGGTCAATTTGTCTATCTGTCTATCGATCTATTTATCATTCTTAGTTCATATGAGAATGCTGTTTCTACCAGTGAAGCATTACAAGCTATGTGACCTATACAGTTTACCCTGTGTTTCATAACTAATTTTCTAGTAACAATGAAAAATACAGTACAAGGCATTTTATCCCTATGTAACATTATCATATATTACCAGGTAAAGTGTTTTTGAGCACACAAATAAAATGATTAATGTTTCAGCATTTCTCTGTTGATGTAATTAAATTTTATCTGCACTGTCCGCTGATCTGGTCATATTCCAGTAAGTTCCTTTCAAGCAGTCATAATTACAGCAGAGTCAGATTGCAATGACTTGGGAAAAAAAGAAATGAAATAGAGTGGATGTGACTTGAACGGGGACATTTGAAAACGAATCCAGCTAAAGAATAAAGGTTCATTGTTATAGGTGTCTATGTAAGCGCTAATACCTAAAGCTAAAATATAGAGGTCTAGTGAAAGTGGTAGCTGCATATTGTGCGTGCCTCTACTAAATTGACAATTGAAATGACAAAAAAGAAAAAGTCTTAAGGTCTATGTCTGCCTTTGCTAGTTTCTGCCATTTTGGACATTTGCAACGTTTGGCAAGGATGAGCCATTTTTTGGTTAATCCATGAGGTCAGGAATGCAAATGGGGCAGATATTTGTATCTCCATTGGTTGAAGCAAGTTCTGCACAGCTTCTGGTCCTCTCAGTTAATCCAACAAAGACCAGCACATGATTAAGTGGACCTGTAGTAGATGTCGGTGTGAGCACAACAAGAAGAATGTTTTAAAAAAATCTCCTTCAAATGTTCTGCTAGTCTGATGTTCTTGTCAGTAATTGTCTAGAGGGACACTTTTAGGGAAGGCAGCTAGAGGGAAAGATACAGGCTTTGTCAGTATTTCCACAGGAACATAATTAAAAATACCTAAAACCTGAGTTACTGATGTACCTCGAGGACTGGGATGGGAACCTTTGATCTTCACCATTCCATTGTATTCATTTATATATTAATTAAGCGCACCTTGATTTGTTTTGGATTTTGTGTATTGATAAGTGTTTAACCATTGCACTTAATTAAGGTCCCTGCTTATATTGTGTGGGTTATTGCGCAACCTATCACTTTATTTTGCTATTGCACAGTTACTTCTGATAGGCATCTTCTGCCACAACATTGTTCAGCAAATTGCTTCCACAAGGTAACCTCGGCTGATGTAAATCTATTGGGGGACTGGGCACAAATGTTGCACCTAAAAACATTGAGCTGAAGAGCTGAATCAAATGAACAATTGCAGTCATGGTATTTACTAAGGGCAATGTGTGGGCAAATTCAGCTAATATCCCATCATTATAACCAATTACATATTAAGTAAATAAACAAACACGTCCTTACACAATGCCAATTTTAAAATAAAATAAAAAAAATCAGTGCAAACATATTCAACATAAATAGTTTAATTAAATAAAATTAATCTTCACACCCAGATTGTAATGTTATGTGATTTACACCTTGTGTGTCCTCACTGAAGGGCTAATCTGTTTGAAAATGAATGAAGCAAAATAGTTGATTGGATCTTACAAAATATATATATTATTTGGTTTTTACTATATATTGGGGCTGATGTGTACTGTAGTCATTGCTGCCGGCCCAGTAGTGATGGGAGTGAGCGCAGGACTTCTCTTTTTGTATTTGTATTTACTTTGTATCACACAGCCTTGTTACAATGCTGCCGCCCATCCCATGTGTTCCCTATTAAGGGTTAATAAGTATATTGGGGTGTATATAAAAAATACCCCTCTCTGTCTCATTAGAGATATCGTTGCCAGAAGCTCAAGGAAGCAGGCTGAAGGGTCAGTGTTGAACCCGCTTTAGGGTCAGTGTAGGACTCGCTTTAGGGGGGTCTGCCTTGACGTTGGCAGGCGGACATTCCCTCCAATGGCCACTGGAACAACTAAATGACCTCAATTTGTCTAAATATACATAGGGATTAAGGAGAGCGCTGGTAACTTTTTCTTTTCTTTGGTTTTTAATATATATGTATATATATAGTAGAGTTCCTTGCACACAGGCCAAACTTACAGCTCCAATGCAGAGTGCACACTATGGCTTAAGATATCCAAACAAGGGTTGTAGTCAGTAGCACTCACAGTCTTGTTAAAATTCTTACTTTATTATTCCAGGTTAAAAAATGTTTTGTTTTTTTTAACTTGGAATAATAAAGTAAGAATTTTAACAAGACCGTGAGTGCTACTGACTACAACCCTTTATATATATATATAGATAGATAGATAGATAGATACCATCATACATTATTTTATTGATATGTTAATAGATTAACTTTCAGACAAATTAAAATTAGACAAACCTTCTTGCTCTTAGCACTATAATAACACAAGTTGTATTAGTAAAAAAAAAAACACAGAATTTACCAATCTCTATATCTTACCTTGGTGAGTAAGCGCCTCTTTGTCCCAAGGCCATGTAGCGGCTCCAGCTAGCTCCTCCCCTGCAGAGCCAGCAAAATAGACATTCAGGAAAACAGTGCCGTTCAGTTGTAAAGCATCTCTCAGCTCTTTCACACTCATATACGCTCTGCAATGGCATAACAGAAAAGAAGAGAAAATAAAATTATCCTAGTTCTACTTTACATTGGCAATACCAAACCTTTGTTGGATACATACTATACATACAATAAAGTAACTAAAGTATCCAACCAAATGCAACTATTCAAATTGTGTGGTTTATTATTTGCTATTGGTGCTCACAGAAAAAAATAGAGACTGACTTGAAGTAAACCTTATCTTTTCTGCCTAATAGTTGTTACATATACAATTTTTTTCTATTTTATTATTATTATTATTATTATTTTATTATTTTATTATTTTTATATTTAAATGTATTCAAATATTTCAACCAGTATGAATTTACTTACATGTGGTATCATAAGGAAATTCCAATTTTTGATTGTGTGTTGGCACCATCTTGTGTAATTTGCCATTTTTGTTATCACCCAATAATATATTTGAGGAACTTATATTAAAGGATATTAGCCATCAGAACCTTGGCCAGATCATTAGGTGCTCCAAATTGTGAAACGTCCAATCGGGAGCACTTTTAATTTATTATTATTTTATATACATACTACATTATGAAGTTTTTTTTTTTGTATTTGTATTTTTCGTGTTGGACATTAACAGGGTTAGAACAGTCAAGTTAGAATTCAAGATTAATTAAAATTACATTTTAATATATAAGGTCAAACTAGCTGAACTAGAAAAATTATGTGAGTTACAATTTTGGTTCAGATACTATAGCCTTAAATTTGAAATTCACTTTGAATCCACTTAGAATTCTCACTTTACTGAATAACCCTGTTAAGGAATGTCCCATTTATTTATGGAATTCTTCATATTTGTGTATGAAACACTCCACCTTGAGCCTCCCAGCTAAATATTCTATAACTAGGTTGGATAAATCTAATATAAATCTGTTGGTAATATATTTATACAGATTTCATTTTAAGGTAATGGAGTGCATTCAGGCCAACTACCTGTAAACCAGATAGTGTCCCCTGAACCTAACCTCCAAACCTTACCCCACAATCCCATTGTGATTCAGAACGCATCGGGTTCACTGCAATTGGCTGGAAACGACCGCTGACTTGATTACTCATTTTCCTGGTTCAGCTAAATTTCAAAATGCCTTACATTTAATAAATATATAAAGTGTGTAACATTGCATCTGGTGTGAAAAAGAAACCCCAGCCATCAGCATATTCGCAGAATACATTCATTTCATGCTTGATTGAAGTTAAGTTACATTATGCACAAATTAGCAATAAAAATAGTTGTTTATATCTAGTTAGTTTTGTGTGTTTACATACACATATATGTATACAAATATATAAAAATACACATAATTTAAATTAAAAATATATTCTATAAAACTTAAATATACACATATTAGACTGGATCTCTCACCCACAAAACATATGGATGAGGAGTTTATTTTTAGATAGATAGAGATGGGATCTGTACATTGATGAATTCACTAGCATAAATGTAAATTAAAACATATACTTTCCTGAAGACCACTCTATCCATTGCCCACATGGTCAGAAGAAATGGACATTGTATATAGCTGTCCATTACGGCCAATATATTTGTAATCTTTATCGCTATGTCAATGGCATAGCAATAAAAGTAAGATAGGTCAAAATAAGAATTATGTAGCATGATCTACAGATATGATTTCCACTAATATTGCACCATTTAATTAATTTCTTTATGATTATGCCACAGGTGTAAATTAAAGTTGCAATTAGTATCTAGTGTATTCTAATGGTTGATATTTGAAATATGGCGATTTTACAAGTTTTATAAGTTAGGCAGTTAGAGTATTGAAATTTAAATTGACTTTAGATAGATCACTGATAGGAGGGTGTAGACAAATAAATACTGAGATGGTGGTTGAGGTTACATAAGAATATTCTTTCTCAGTTGAACATATTTAGTAGAAAAAAATCTACAAAAATATTAGTTCTGACTTTAACTACAGCATCAGATATAATTAGGCATAAAATAAGTTTGTATAAACATATCTTACCTTCCCTTTGCCTCAGGATCAAAACAAGTCTTTGAACTTGCACCAGCTTCTTGTGGACAACAGTCTCCATCATCATAATCATCTCTGGCTGTATTGCACTCCAAATGACATATACCATCACCCTTCTTTCGGGGGCTACAGGGTCTAAAGCTTTTACAGTCTCCCCCATCATAACCAGTAAGTGGGTGTCTACACTCAGGGTCACACAAATCATTCCCTACCCTTCCTGGTTCACACCCTGGTAGCACAACTCGATTCCGCAACGTAGAATTATGTATCTGGTGCACATTCAGTTTCCAGTGAATGCCATGAGCACTGTATGCCTCTGTCAGGGCTCGATGTTGCCTGGAGATTTGTTCAGTACTAACAAGTGGCCTGGAGCCATCATTTTCAAATATATTAACAACACGATAATGCACCTCTTTTTCCCATTTTATCCCAGGTCGGCTATAGCCAGAAGAGACATCAGGCAAATCACAAGAGGTCCTCCCACAAGGAGGAAGTAGGAAGGGAGACATTAGGTCCATTTCTGGTATAACATCTTTTCTAACTTCTGTAAGTCCCCCATCTTTATAAGGAGCCCAAATATTTTCTGGCAGAATGGAATTTAATGGTCTTTTTTCCCACTCTCCGTATGAAATTTTACTTAGAGCTTCTGCTCTTAACTCATTCTGACTTCTAGGTTCTGGCCAAAGATGAAAGGAGGAGAGATGGCCACGAAAAAAATTACCATTTTCTGAGTTATCACCTCCAAGCATGAGACATCTGCATGAAGAGATGAAGGGGCTGTGGAGAGAACCCAGTTGGCCATGTACCTTTGAAACCTGAATACCATTTATATAGAGTAAAATGGTATGACCATCATAGCTGGCAGCTACATGGGTCCACATATTTGGTTTGTATCGATGTGGAGACATCACGATGGTAGCATTGTGAGCACGGTCAGTGCGTAGGGAAAAGTAGAAGCGTGCACCTTTCTTTGCATTACCATCTGCTAGACGTATTCCAAGAGACCAGCCACGGTCGCTTACCACGTGTGAGCAATTGTCAAACATACCTGTTATGGAACACAAAGAAAAATTAAGGAAAAAGCTTTGCATACATGATCGAATACATTTCAAATATTTATTTTTTTCAGGAGTTGAAGATGGACATTCCAAACAAAGTGGCTGTAGTTAAAAAAAAAAAACAGGAGTTTTAAATAATTACATATAAAAACAATAACATACGTAGCAATAAATAGGAGATAGACAAATAGATAGGGCAAGGGTCTCCTGTGGTGTCCTGTGTATACTGTTACTGAAATTCCTGAATTGGCGAGTGACAAAATGTTGTCTTTGAAAAGGTGCTGTGTTATGCCAGAGAGCAAGAAAATTAATCGATTACTATTTTATTTTATTTTTTACAGAGGATTTTAATTTGGTATTTATTTCCAAATTATTACTTTAAGTTCGGGCGAACGGTTAAAACTCTGCAATGCTTTTTGACAGTTACAATTAATCTCTCTTACTTGATTTAATGTAAAACTACTTGGGTTCAAGACCCATTGCTAGGATCACTAATGCACACTAAAACTTTGCACACAGTGATAACTTATTCCACTAATGGTTCCTTGGTAACAAGGAAAAAAAATCCAGCTACCTCAAATAGCTTCAACTATCAGTGGCCTGTAGTGATGTCCCGAACGGTTTGCCGAACGGTTCGCGAACGGTTCGCCTTGGTTCGCCACCAACGGTTCGCCACCAACGGTTCGCCGCGGACTCCAGTCAGCAGACACATTCCAGCCAATCAGCAGCAGACCCTCCCTTCCAGACCCTCCCACCTCCAGGACAGCATCCATTTTGAAGCTGCATTCTTAGTGAGCTGTCCAGGAGGTGGGAGGATCTGGGAGGGAGGGTCTGCTGCCGATTGGCTGGAATGTGTATGCTGACTGGAGTCCGCAGCGAACCGTTCGTGGCGAACCGTGGCGAACCATTCGCGAACCGTTCGGCGAACCGTTCGGGACATCTCTAGTGGCCAGCTCTTTCTTCATTAAGACAAACTAAGACTTACATGTATTGATGGTCTTCAGAAAAAGTTCTCAAGATACACCAATGGTTCAACTTTTCTCAGTTTCCCATTTGGAACAAAACTAAGAAATGACTAAATCATGGGCTTGGGTGGATGTGCTATGAGAACTTGGTTATGAATTACCGGTCTACAGTACTCCCATATTAGCAGATGGGGCACATCTTAAACAAATAATACCTGGGTGGTATTCCTGTTTTCACCCTTTGGTAATAAGACTAGATAGAACCAGCAGAATCCTCTGTTAATTAGGCTACTTAGGCCTTTCAGATTCTAGTATACAGGACTAATTAGCATCTGTATATGCAAATGACGTGTGTTGAAGGATTTATGCTTAAGGTAAATTATCTTAACAAAGGTTTAAGGAGACATCGAAATACATTTGCTTACAAATGTAATGTGTTGAATGATTTTTATTTTATTCTCATTGTTTTCGACATGCTTGTGTGTAGGACTCTGCTACTTTGCTAAAAGCAAGTGTAAGATCTTATTTTATGACCTCGGAGAGTTTAAATAGATGTCAATGAGCCAGGCAGGTTGGATAATTGTCTCATAAACATAATGTATTGGCAAAGAATGTAAC